CAAACTCTGAAAATAAAACAGGCTGACGTGTTTACAATAAAGATAGAAATATACAATGGACCATATTGTTATATTGGTATATTTTTTGTTCATTCATCTGCAGATCAAAGGAATGACCTTAGATCTGCAAATGCTATCAATTAAATTGTTACTAAACCCACAACAGTGAAATCAGTCTATATATGCAGTAAAGGAAGGAAGACTGGGTGGATGCCTCTGCAGCAGTGACAGCGTGCCGCTGGAGGGCTTTGTTTTAAGGTAAGTTTTACATATATGCTGCATACTATGACATTACCTTGCAGGGGACTTTTTTTTTTCCCTGTGGTTTACTACCGCTTTAACCATTTCCATACCGGGCAATTTTACACCTTCCTGCCCAGGCCATTTTTCAGGTTTCAGCGCTCTCACACTTTGAATGACAATTGCACGGTCATACAACATTGTACTCAAACTAAAATTTTATCATTTTCTTCACACAACTAGAGCTTTCTTTTTGGTGGTATTTAATCACCGCTGGGGTTTTTATTTTTTGCTAAATTAACAAAAAAAGACCAAAAATTTTGAAAAAAACCCACGTTTTTCTTTGTTTCTGTTATAAAAGTTTACAAATAAATAATTGTTCTTCATAAATTTAGGCCGAGATGTATTCTGCTACATGTCTTTGGTGAAAATAACCCAAATTAGGATGTATTATTTAGTTTGTAGGAAAGTTATAGAGTTCACAAACTATGGGATAGATCTGAAAATTGAAAATTGATTTACCTGAATGAAATCGATTCATTCAGGTTTTTTTTTGTTTTTTTTGTTTTTTTTTGTGCTTAGCTGTGATTTGGTCACAGCTAATCACATGACATGTGCATGTGATTAGCTGTGACCATTCACAGCTAGGCACTAGTATACAATGGATGGCATGAATGAAGCCATCCATTGTATACAACTGTCATGTGACCTGCTGGTCACAGCAGGTCACATGGTACTGGCAACGGGGTCGGTGCTCAGATATGTCATCGGCCGTGTCCGAGGTACACGGCCGGTGACAGATTGCACCACTGCGTGGCTCTGCAAGCGCGCGAACTGCGCATGTGCGGGAGCACGCCAAATGGCGTGCACCTGGAATGCCGAAGCGTTTTTTTTCCAGCGGCTAATGGTTAAAGTAACCTGACAAGTAAAAAAAAAAAAAAAAGGTGTTTAACCCTTTAGTAACCCTTAGTTTACTCTAATCTGTCCGAATTATACTCCTTCTCCCTTCCATTATTATGCTCCTGCTAATTTTTTTGTTTGTTTTTTTATTCGCTATTAATATTTAAACTTTTTTTGTTATTATTATTACACATTTCCGATTGTTTAATGCAAAAATTTAGTGCAAAATTTAAAAGAAAACACCTTATTAAATTTGTAAGTAACTTTGCAATGCCTTGTACCAGAATCATATCACTGGCATTCCAAGACAAACTATTTATTTAACTAACCCTGCTCAAAAAAAAAGAAAAAGAGCATTGTATTTAGTTTTGTTGCATTCTGTTGTGTTTTATTGTCTAAGGATTGCAAAAAGAAAAAAATCATTGTTGCAAATCAATATCATGAACAGAAAGCCTTGTTTGTCCTAAAAAAAACAACCCAACAATATATGTATTACCTTGTTATCTTAACCGCTTCCTGACAGCCCTACACCAGAACTACTGCTACAGGGCAGCAGGGCTGTAGCAAAATCACGCATACAGTATATACATGATTTTGTATTTCCGGGTAGGGGTAGCCCTACCTGTGCCACCAGTGGTGGCTACAGATGCAATCACCAGGTCCCGGCTGGATTCCCCGCTGGCACCCGCCGATCGCTGAGGAACACTGACGGGGAGAGGTCTGTATGTATATTAACCCCTTCCAGCCCAGTGGCATTAGTACAGTGTCAGTGCTTTTTCTTAGCACGATCACTATATTAGTTTCACTGGGGTTGTCAGTGACAGTTAGTCAGTTGCCCCCCAGTGTCAGAATGCCTGCCACAGTCCCGCAGTCCTGTTATAAGTTGCTGATCACCACCATTACTAGTGCAGAAAAAAAAATTCCAGCATATATACCGCCATTTGTAGACATTATCACTTTCATGTAAACCAATTCATTTACATGTATTGGGATTTTGTTTTAGCAAAGACATGTAGCAGAATACATTTTGGCCTAAATTTAGGATGAAATTTGATTTTTGAAATTTTTTTTGAAAGTTGCACTCATCGAAAGTCGCATCAAGTCACACCGTAAAGTTGCAATGAAAATCGCACGATTTTCCACAGGGAGCTCAGGAAGGCACACTACAGGAGGGCTCAGGAGGGCACACCACAGGGGGGCTCAGGAGGGCACACCACAGGGGGTCTCAGGAGGGCACACCACAGGGAGGCTCAGGAGGCCACACCACAGGGGGGCTCAGGAGGCCACACCAGGGGGGACTCAGGAAGCCACACCATGGGGGGCCTTAGGAGGGCACACCAAGGGGGGGCTCAGGAAGGCACACCACGGGGGGGGGGGGGGCTCTGGAGGCCACACCACAGGGGGCTTAGGAGGGTATACCATGGGGGGACTCAGGAATGCACACCACAGGGAGCTCAGGAGGCCACACCACAGGGGGGCTTAGGAGGCCACACCACAGGGAGGCTCAGGAGGCCACACCACAGGGGGGCTCAGGAGGCCACACCACAGGGGGGCTCAGGAGGCCACACCACAGGGGGGCTCAGGAGGGCACACCACAGGGAGGCTCAGGAGGCCACACCACAGGGGGGCTCAGGAGGCCCACACCACAGGGGGTCTCAGGAGGGCACACCATGGGGGGCTCAGGAGGCCACACCACAGGGAGGCTCAGGAGGCCACACCACAGGGGGGCTCAGGAGGCCACACCACAGGGGGGCTCAGGAGGGCACACCACAGGGAGGCTCAGGAGGCCACACCACGGGGGACTCAGGAAGCCACACCATGGGGGGCCTTAGGAGGGCACACCAAGGGGGTCTCAGGAGGGCACACCACGGGGGGGGGGCTCAGGAGGCCACACCACAGGGGGGCTTAGGAGGGTATACCATGGGGGGACTCAGGAAGGCACACCACAGGGAGCTAAGGAGGCCACACCACAGGGGGGCTCACGAGGACACACCACAGGGAGGCTCAGGAGGCCACACCACAGGGGGGCTCAGGAGGCCACACCACAGGGGACTCAGGAAGCCACACCATGGGGGGCCTTAGGAGGGCACACCAAGGTGGGGCTCAGGAAGGCACACCCCGGGGGGGGGGGGGCTCAGGAGGCCACACCACAGGGGGCTTAGGAGGATATACCATGGGGGGACTCAGGAAGGCATACCACAGGTAGCTCAGGAGGCCACACCACATTGGGGCTTAGGAGGGTACATCATGGGGGGGGGCTCAGGAAGGCACACTACAGGGAGCTCAGGAGGCCACACCACAGGGGGGCTTAGGAGGGTACACCATGGGGGGGGCTCAGGAAGGCACACTACAGGGAGCTCAGGAGGCCACACCACAGGGGGGCTTAAGAGGGCACACTGCAGGTGGCCTAGGAGGGCACACCACACGGGGGGCTCAGGAGGCCTCACCACGGGGGGGGGGGCTTAGGAGGGTACACCATGGTGGGGCTCAGGAAGGCACACCACGGGGGGGCTCAGGAGGGCACCCCACAGGGAGCTCAGGAGGGCACACCGCAGGGGGGGGCTCAGGAGGGCACACCACAGGGGGGCCCAGGAAGGCGCACTATGGGGGGTCTTAGGAGGGCACACCACGGGGGGCTCAGAAGAGCACAGTATAGGGGGTCTCAGTAGAAGTGATCTACTTCAGCCGATCTACTTATTCTGGTCCCCGACGGCCCTCCTCTATTGTCCATTTCATATGATGTCATCCACATGCGCCTAGCGTGGACTGAAGAGGAGGGCTGGTGGGGAACAGAACAGTACACTCTGTGGATGAGCTCAGATGTTTTCGGACAGAAGCACAAACCCACCCGATCCATACCTTGCTAGTAAACAAGGGGCAGGCAGCGGGGCTGGGATTGGGTGTGACATCTTCCAAGTCTTGGAGTGTCCAATATGCCTGAACTCATCTCTTCCTCACTGAGCTCACTTTGAGGCTGGGTTCACACTAATGCGGTGCGGTACATCGCATTTGATTCGCACAGAAACCGCCCCACATTCCTGTGCAAATCACATGTGATTTGTGTGCGGTGCGATCGGAGTCATACATTTTGTATGTCTCAAATCGCACCACACCCTTTTTTGGGTCCACGCTAGAATCGTATCACATGGGTATTCACACCTATGCGATCTGATTCTGCAAATCACACCGCGTTTTGCAGAACGATTTCGGGGTGTTGTTAACATACACACCCGCATTGGTTCGCTTGAACGGGGTGCGATTCTGATGCGGTGCGGAATTCGCACAGAAAATGCTACGAATTCCGCACTCTATCAGTGTGAACCCAGGATCAATGATAATGGTAAACAGGACAAACCGAGAGGGTGAACCTCCCTAATGGGACACAGACAGCAGGAAAAACCTAATAGGTGTTCTAATACATCTCCACACTATCCAAAACAAAACAAAACAAGTTTTTCCTTTAATTATACTTTAACCACTAGCCTACCGGACACTTCCTGCCCAGGCCAATTTCCAGCTTTCAGCACTGTTGCACTTTGAATGACAATTGCGCGGTCATGCAACACTGTACCCATATGAAATTTTTATCATTTTTTTGAGACAGATACAGCTTTCTTTTGGTGGTATTTAATCACCTCTGGGTTTTTTATTTTTTCTTAAACAAACCAAAAACCGCTGAAAATTTTGAAAAAAAAAAAATGTTTTTTCTTAGTTTTTGTTATACAATTTTGTAAATAAGTGATTTTTCTCCTTCACTGATGTGCGCTAATGAGGCTGCACTGAGGGGCACTGATAGGCTGCACTGATGGACACTGATAGGTGGCACTGATGGGCACTGATGAGGAGGTACTGGTAGGTGGCACTGATGGGCATTGACAGGCATCACTGATGGGCACTGAAAGGCAGCACTGATACATGACACTGATATATGGCACTGATAGGCAGCACTGATAGGCGGCACTGACTGGCACTGATAGGCGGCACTGATTGGCACTGATAGGTGGCACTGACTGGCACTGATAGGTGGCACTGATTGGCAGCACTGATTGGCACTGATGGGTGACACTGAAAGGCAGCTCAGATGGGCACTGATATGTGGCATTGATGTGCACTGGTGTGCACTGATATGTGGCATTGATGTGGCACTGGCACGAGGCACTGACATAAGACACTGATGGACACTGACAGGTGACACTGATCATCAGGGCACACTTATCATCAGTGCCCTGATGATCAGTGTACATGCCCCCTCCACGGAATGCCGATTACCGACTCTCCTCTGTCAGCGTGACAGCTCGAGAGGAGAGAAATGCCGATAGCCAGCATTTCCCTGTTTACATGTGATCATCTGTGATTGGACACAGCTGATCACATGACCGAGCCGACATCTTCGGCTCTTTCCGTGATCGGTGATCTGCTGTGTCTGAGGGACACAGCGCACCGCCGATCATCGCGTATGCGCGCTCCCTGAGCCACGCATGCACGGTGAGAATGGGAGGATGTCATATGACGTCCTCCCAGAACGAGAGAACCACCTTGCGCCCGTCATATTACTATATGGCGGGTGGGAGGTGGTTAAAGCGATTCTAAAGGCTCCTTTTTTTTTTTGTAAAATAACAAACATGCTATACTTACCTGCTGTGTGCAGTGGTTTTGCACACTGCAGCCTGGATCCTTCTCTTCTCAGGTCCCCCGCTGGCTCTCCTGGCTCCTCCTTTCTGTCGAGTGCCCCCACGGCAAGCAGCTTGCTATGGGGGCACCCTCTGCTCCGTGTGTCCATTCACACATGGAGCCGTGACTTGGCCCCACCCCCTATCTTTCCTAATTGGCTGTGATTGACAGCAGTGGGAGCCAATGGTTCCTGCTTGCTGTCTCAGCCAATAAATAATGTACCTAGGGGAAAATAATCCATTGAGAGAGTACAACATTGCGGGTACAGTGTTGGCCAGCACTTCAGAGGAAAAGGATTTGGGGGTACTTATTTCAGATGATTGCAAAATGAAAACAGTTGGTCAGGCAGCCAGAAAGCGAATAGAATTCTAGGATGCATTACTAGAGGGGTCACCAGCAGGAGGAAGGAGGTCCTGAGACCTCTATATAGATCTTTAGTTGGACCTCATTTAGAATACTGTGTCCAGTTCTGGAGACCTCACTTACAAAAAGATATTGATAAGATCAAGAGCGACTTCAGGAACTTAACATGTCCAGTCTGGAGGAAAAAAGGGAAAGGGAAGACATGACTGAAACCTCTAAATACATCAAGGGGGTGAATAAGGTTCAGGAGGTCAGTATTTTCAACACAAAACCAAAATCAAGAACACGGAGACATGACCTCAAACTAATCTCAGAAAGTACTATTTTATGGAAAGAGTAGTTGATGCTTGGAATAAACTTCCAGCAGAGGTAGTGAGCCAGGCAACAGTAAACAGTTTCAAACATGCTTGGGACAAGCATAGATATATACTCAGACAAAAAAGTAGAAAAAAAAAACCCAACCCCCCCCAAAAAAAAAAAATAAAAAACAACAAAAAAACACACACACAAATGGGCAGACTCAATGGACCACTCAGCCTTTTTCTGCCGTCACTTTTCCATGTTTCAGTGTTTCTATGAGGAGGCAGAGACCCAATGCTGTCATTCACATAGTTGGATTGCGATGAGGCTCAGATAAATTTTGAGGGGGCTGGGGGGGGGGGGGGGACTGCACACGGAAGGTTTTTTACCATCATGCATAGAACCTTCAGCCTTTACATCTGCTTTAAGTAAAAATTAAATATCTTTCTAAATGTCCAATTTTGAATTAAAATAGTATAAAAAAAATTGCACACATATATAAATACCCTTCTTTCACCAATTAAAAAGACATAATTGTATTTTTTATTGGTGGAAGAAGAGTATATAATATATACGTGTGATTTTTTTTTATACTATTTTCATTCAATATTTAACATTTATAAAGATATTTAGTTTTTACTTAAAGTGATACTAAACCCCGGACCCTGCATTCACTATATCTGGTTTACCACAATGCAGAAAACATGGAAATGCAATTTTAGTAAATATAAACTGCTAAATAACTTTTCTCATCAGCAGTTAAAGCAGTCTTGTGACTTCTATCAGTGTTCAGCAGAGTACTGGTTAAAGCTTGCAGGAGGAGTTTTTATTCTGCTCTAGGAGGATGCAGGACCTCTGTCTGGACAGTGTTGATTGGCCCTGTGCTGATCACATGCACTCACACAAGAAAAAAAAAAACCTCTCTAGCAATACACACCAAACTGAGCATTTGCAGAGTGTCTCCACACAATATGTTTTATTAGGAGATAAGAGGTGGTTGCTTGAAAAAGGGGAGAATCAGAGAAGACGGGATCAAACAGCCTACACAGTGCAGAGGATTAACCCCTTAGGTCCCACAGTGAGTATAACAAGCATGCTTTACTGCATATACAGACTGATTTTACTGTTGTGGGTTTAGTAACACTTTAATTTACCTTAGTTTTTGATACACCACTTGTGTCCTGTGAAAGCAGCTTCTCTTGTGCTTGGTATTCTAGTCACCTTTTTTCTTTTGTCCTAATATATACGCTGCAGGGAACGCACTCACTTAGTGAGTTGGCATATTTCTATGATTTAACCATCTGACCTCTTTATTAGCAATAAAAACTGACAGGGGTTCTAATCCTTCTCTATCCATCCCACTGGATATCACATGAGATAAAATACCGCATGGTTTAATGAGATAAATAATGCATATTTCAGAAAAATATAGTGTTTTAGTAGTGTTTTTTTTGTGAATGCCAAAAAACTTTTTGCAAAACTCTGAGGTATTTTACTGCAAACTTTAAGTCCTCATACACACGGGACGTTTTCATAACGCTGGTAATGTTAGCAGTGTAAAGTCACGTTAAAAACTTGAGTTTTTCAGCTTTTTAAGCGGTTTTGCATTAGCGTTTAGCGGCATTTTCCCACATTTAGCAGCGTTTTTCCACGTTTGTGGTTTTCAGCATATTTTTTTACCAAAAATAATATTTTTTTGGTCATAAAAAGTCCAAAAATGTTGGTTATCGGAATTTTACCATTTTTTCCACATTTTACAGCATTAGAGCATTTTTACAGCTAAAAAAACTCCTCTAGAAACCTGCCAGTCCTGGGTTTTTTTCCAGCCAAAAAACATCCCAGCCAAAAAACATTGATCACAATCAGGGGCGGACTGACCATTTGGAAATTCAGGCACTGCCCTACAAGTGTGTCATGCAAGGGCCTACCCGCATACAAATGAACTACTTGCCCTCCAGAGGATGTACCCCCTTTCCTGACCAGGCCATTTTTGCGTCACTTTAACTGACAATTGCGCGGTCATGCAATGCTGCACCCAAATGAAATGTATGTCCCTTTTTTCCCACAAATAGAGCTTTCTTTCGGTGTTATTTGATCGCCTCTGCGGTTTTTATTTTTGACCCTTTAAACAAAAAAAGACTGACAATTTTGAGAAAAAAAACAATATTTTTGACTTTTGTAGGCCAAAATGTATTCTGCTCCATGTCTTTGCTAAAACAAAATCCCAATACGTGTAAATGAATTGGTTTACATAAAAGTTATAACGTCTACAAATGGCGGTGTATATACTGGAATTTTTTTTTGCTTTATACTAGTAATGGCGGCGATCAGCAACTTATAGTGGGACTGCGGTGGACATTCTGATACTGGGGGGGTGGGATGAAACTGACTGCCACTGACATCCCCAGTGACACTAATACAGTGATCAGTGTTAATAAAAAGCACTGACACTGTACTAATGACACTGGGCAGGAAGGGGTTAACATCTGGGGCGATCAAAAGGTTAACTGTGTGCTGTTTTACTGTGTGCTGTGTGTGTTTTACAGTGTAAGTACACTGCTTTGTATGGCTCTGCTATGCAGAGCCATACAAAGCAGTGTGCAGGAGCTGACAGGGGAGAGAACTATATTGTTTACATACAGACATCTCCCCCGTCAATGATGCTCGGCAATCTCCAGGTGCTGGCGGCGGAGAATCACCAGCCAAGACCCGGTGATCGACAGCTGAAGCTGCCAATGGCTACCCAGAAATGCGAAATCATGCGAAATATACGTGACTTTGCGCAGCTCTACTGCCCTGTAGCAGTATTTCTCCTATAGGGCGGCAGGTAAGCGGTTAACAGGATTGCTTAGAAAAAGCCCTCACATTACTTAATGTACAAATAGGAAGATTGTCCTATGTTTATGGGTATTATTCTCATAATGCACATCCCTGCATATTATATCAGTGCTAAAGAAATATATTTATGTTGCACCTATCTGCTCACATCGGTTCTTGCCCCAGGCAGGCTGATGGAGTTATGGACTGGCCTAGTCAGAGCCCTGATTTGAATCCCATCAAAGTATTGTGGAGTTTGAAAAATGGCACTTCCTGCACTTAATTCATGGACTCCCACAAAACGTCTTGAAACTGCAGTAATGCTGAATGGAGAAGTGGTCAAAAATTTCAAAGCGCAATTATGCAGAATGTGTACAAGCAGTCATTTCTGCTAAGGGGGGAATACCAGCTTTGGAGTTTGTTCAATAAATGATTGATAAATGCAAAGGTTCCTTGTGTTTTTATGTAGGCAGATCACTTTTCTTTGTGGGAACTTTTAAATGGAGATCTAATGTTTGCCTGTTTAAATATGTTGAAAAATTCCAGCGAAAGTGATAGTACTACTAGTACTGCCCTGTATATATAGAAAAGCACTATATGGGGTCGTGCTGCAAAAAAACCCCAAACCATTATATATATTTATTTATATATATATTTTATATATTTATATATATATATTTATATATATATATATATATATATTTATTTATATTTTATATTTATATATATATAGCGAGAGGGAGAGAAACACCAAAAATATTGACACCCCAGCATTTCTGTCTGATAATGCACCACTTCACCCAGAAATTTGTTGCAATTGCAAATGTTTCGGCCGAACCCCAAACGTGGACTGGAAAAAATGATTGGCATCCTTTCAAAATCGCAAAAAAAAATAATTGCATTCCAAGTTTGTGGTGCTCCTGTAATTTGTAATTAAACTCAGGTTTATCAATTAACAGGTGCTGACAATATAGAAATCACAACCGGCAATCAGTTAAAATAGTGAAACATTGACTGAACCTTTCTGTTGTGTGTTCTCTCTGTGCCACATGGAGCATGGAGAAGAGAAAGAGAAGCAAAGAATTGTCTGAGAATTTGAGAACAAAAATTGTGGAAAAGCATGGACAATCTCAAGGTTCCAAGTCGATCTCCAGAGATCTTAATGCTCCTGTGTCCACTATGCGCAAAATTGTCAAGAAGTTTACAGCCAATGAACATTG